TGGACCTCTCTCAGATTTGTTCATTTTGTAATGATACCTTTAATTTTGGTGAATATTTTTGTCATTTTTGGTAAAAAGTGATATTTTCGACTTCTTGTTAAAAACCGCAAGTCTGATTGCTTTTATATTACATATATAGGTATTACATGTGGACCTTGTTAATTTCGTGGTGATATCTTCAATTACTTAATTTTGATGATTATTTTTATCATTTTTGGTGAAAAGTGATATTTTTGAATTCTTGTTGAAAACAGCAAGGTCCTTTGCTTTGATACTATACATATTGTTCATTTTCTAATGATATCTTCAGTTCTTTAATTGAAATGTGCATTGCTAACAGCGGGGCTATCTCAGCCGACAGGTTGCTTGTTCTAGTAAATCATACAATATAATCATACAAAGTATGAATTCAAAGTGTTTCAATATTATTGGTGAGAGGTTGCATTTTACGTGAACAAGAACATGCACTAAGAAGGAAAAGCAAGCCAAAGTCGAAACGGGGTGCATCATGCACATGACACAACACACGCTGCGACAACTGAGTGATCGGCGACATCATTTTGGGACGCAATTGAACTTCAAGTACTTCTTTGCAAAACTTGCTGCGCAGCGATGCTGACATCAAGTGTGTGTTGACCGAAGTTTGACCCCCAACTCACGCACTGAACTGGCGCGTTACCTTAGCAACCTTTTCCTTTCGTGCCCCGCGCGTCAATCTAGTAAAATTGTTATTATATCCGAAGTTATTGTAATTACGCAACTATTATGCAACTCTGTACTGGCTTTGAATATATCAACATCGTTTACTTAGTGCACTGCTTTTCTAATTACGCAAATTTGTTTAAAATATTGTACCGGCTCTAAATATTTCAACTTCGTAATGTATTGTTTTCATGATAATTAGTTTTTTTTTTAACTATTGTTAGGGCACTGACCCGGGGTATTGGGTCTGTTAATATTTCAATATCACCGACTTTATAATGTGTTACATTCGTAATAATTACGCAAACATAAACATACCATACGTCAAATTAAATTTTACTATAATATAATAAACTCTGGGCAGCGCACTTCGATCGCATCATTCACGTACATTTCGACTGAACTCTAATAACCACGCGTTTGAATTGCGTGCGGCATTGGGCAATGACCTCCAGAGTTCACGCACTGATATTTAAATTCAGGCCACCCAGCAAATCAATATAGTTACTTACATTTGTTAAAAAAATCTTTCAACTCTCACAAATATCATGGACGTGAAGAGTTAACTGGGGTTAAATGAAAGGGAATGTCTTTTTTGGACAAAAAACACGTCAGTACAAGATTATGTGTGCGAGGTTAGATTTATAGAACATACATGACCGTTTAACTCTGTGTTTTTTACCGAATCCGGTATAATGAAGATGTGACACGAAGTTACTCGCCCGACCAATCAAAAACGTCAATTTACGGCGGTTCACTTAAATGACGTAATAGAATAATGGCGGACACATGCAACCCTGTGGACCAGCGACGAAAAAGCCCTGCACTAAGCTTTCCAACACGGAAATTCGTAATCGATGTGCTGACCAATGGATATTTATCGACTAAGTAATAATCTTGCCCAACATCTGTAGTGTCGTGGGGGAATGATTTTTTCAGGTCAAATCTTTACCGAACCTAAACTGCTTGCTAACTGAAAGGCTGTGATGACGGAGATCATCTGCGATTGCGGCTACACCAAGTACTGATAACATAAAAACTCAAACAAAATGTATAATTGTAATGTCTTCATGCAATATATTCTGAGTTGTCCACTTTATTCTGAATTAATAGGATACAATTTTAAACATGTTTTTGAACGCCGCGAATTAAAAGGATATATTTAAAAATTAGCGTTCGAAAATAAAATGGGTGCGCGAATTAATCAAGTTTTTACGGTATTATTATTATTCCCTTTTAGGTCCACCAACTCCATTAGATCCTCCAGAACATTTATTTCGTATTCGTCTAGTTTCTACATTGTTAGACACATGTGGACAGTACTTTGATAGAGGCTCTAGCAAGAGAAAGTTGGACTGCTTTCTGCTATATTTCCAGGTATGAATGCTTATTTCTTCTTTTAATCT